CACGTGCAAGCCCGGCACGGCCGCCTGCTGCTCGCCACCGCCCCAGGTGAGGCCCAGCCCGGGGGTGACGCCCGGACGCAGCCCCGCTCCCCGCCGCGGTTTCCAGAGCAGGAGCTGCCCTGCAGTGAAGTGGGGGGCTCATGCCACAGGGTGGTTTGGGACATCACGGGAGGAGCCAGGGGGCCTCTCACGTGGGTCTGTGTATCTTACTAGGGCTCTGATTAGCATAGTAATCATGGGAAGTTAGGGGTGGCAGGAACCTCAGGAGGTCATCTAGTCCAACCCCCTGCTGAAAGCAGGACCAGCCCCAACTAGATCACCCCAGACAAAGCTTTGTCTAGCTGGGTCTTAAAAACCTCCAAGGATGGAGATTCACCCCCTCCCTTGGATAGGGAGAGCCGGAGGCAGGGCAGGCACTGCGAGAAGTGGTTTTCAATAGTGTGTTGTGTGACGCCCCTCGGGTGCACGGAGGTGGCAGCCAAGTGAAGCTGCCCCGTGTGCAGGGCTGTGGCGTGCATGCTCCCCTTGTCTGCTGGATAAAGCCAGGTGCGAGCAGAGCTGCAGTTCTGGAAAGGGGGTGCAGGCTGTGAGGTACTTTATATACCTTGCACTTATGCAACTTTAAAGAGTCAAGGAACCTCTCCATAACTCTTTTAATTTGCATTTTCTCCACTCCCCTCCTAGAAACAGGGACAGTTGCACTGGTGCATCACTGATGTCAGGAGGAGCAAGGGTAGGGGGCAGACCAGGAAAAGCTGCGCCCCAAGCCAGCTTTAGGGTTACTAGAGAGCAGGAGGAGTGTGTACATTCTGGGCTGGCTGTACAGCAGGCGTGTGGGGCATTTTGACTTGGAAGCAACTGCACTCAGTTTAGAAGCACTGAGGGAAGGCGAGGCAGGACCAAGAGTGGCTTTCATCCAGGGGTGCCACCACACTCAAAAAAGTGTTGTAACCACTACCTTACTTGCTGACTGGTTCAGAGATGCTACGAACATGGAGTACGGAAGGTACCCTCCTGCCCTTCCTTCTGACATCTTCAGATTAACAAGCTAACTGCCTCTGCATTGGTGAATAGGAATTTTGTGTCAGGTAGAACTAGGTTCTCTCGTTGTGTCACCCTTGACTGATTTCAAAGTGCAGTTATATGTATCCTTTTAACATGTGAAACACTGAAAATATGAAGGTATATAGAGTAATATAACTCCATAAATAATACTAGGCATGTCTCTACTGGTCCCATTAATTTAATAACATACTTGTTAAACCTGGAAGAAACTCCTGCAGGATTTCTAGAGTGCTGCACAGCTTTGCTGTGGAATCTAGGACTCATTTTCCAAGGGAAGCCACAGGCTTGGCTTACTGACTGCTAAGAGCTCTTGCTTGCATTTAGTGTCATTTGTCATCATATTCCTGTACCAATGTCCCTCAGTTCTTACATGTCTGAAGATGTACTCGGAGTGAAACTGAACAATTGATAAAAGAAAGCACATTCTTGTCCCTGTGCTAAAACTGTTGTTTGTTTTAAAAACTCAGTGGGATGCCAAAAAGTTATAGAAAAACTTTTTTCAATTTTGGTGCTTTCTCCCTTATTAAAGCTTAAGCAGAATCCTACTCTGGCCTTCTGGTTCTTTAGAGATATTTGGTAAATACAAGATAGACAAGCTTTTATTATTAGAAATGTATTTCTAATACCAAAAAAAATTATATTTGGAGTTATGATAAGGAATCTCCTGGTATGCTTAACAGAGGATGATGAGTAAAGAACAAACTCATTTTTTCTTTGTTGTTTCCATGACATCTGTATTATATCTTCGAACATGAAGGCCAGAAACTAGTTTATGAAAAATGAGTTGTTCCTGTCCTGGATCGTTGAAATATCTGGGACTGAAGAGTAAATGTTTTAAGTCTATTTAAGTCTGTTTTATAATTTAAGGTGTCTGGTAACAATTGCAATCTTCTATAGTTAAATTAAACATCATATTATGCTTGATGGGAAAAATAAGATCCCTCAGCTGACTTGTTCTTAAGAGTTTACTTTTATTAATGTACAGGTAATATGTGCCTTAAGGCACATATTCAACACACTCTGTTGAATTCATGTTACTAGCAAATTCTATTTTTTATTTTAAATCAATGCAAAATGAATTAAGTAGTAACTTTTTTGGCATAGAAAGCACGTGATTTGCTGCTTTTCTTGTTTGGATTTTATGAAACAAATAATTAGTCCACCAATCTTAAGCACAGTACTACTCTCACATAATTTGTTTTTCAAATACAGGAAACAAACAGCTCTATGAATGTCCAATGTGTGATCTTGTCTGTGCAAGCCCTCAGATTCTCCAAGAACATGTTGACTTACACTTAGAGGAGTGTAGCTTTTCGGAAGGTAGGTGGAAAGATCAAAAGGTGATATTGGCAAAAAGCAGTTAAATTGGTTCTAGGTTTCATACCTACAAAAAAACAATAGTTTATACTTTGCTTAAAGTTTGTCTTGGTTATTTAACAAATTGGTATTTAACTTTATGGCTATGTCTGTGTTGATCCCATTTTCAAAAATGAAAATCAGTTAGTAAATACCTATAGCTACAATTTTACAGCACAGAACAGTTGGTGAAAACAGCACTACCTGATGTGAAACTGCTAAGGATATGCATTGTGTATTAAGTAAAATGTAAACATGTTAATAGATCTACTTAATAGTTTCAATATTCTCCAGCTCTTTAAAATATAACAGTCTAATATCACACATCTTGAAATTTCACATAGACAAGTATCCACAAGTCAGATGATTTTAAAAAGTCATTTTTGGCATCTCGGATCTAAATTACCCATGATTCTTTTTCTGTCAGAAGTCAGTAATGATTTATCAGCTGTTTCTGTTCTGTGATATTTTTTCATTAGTACTCCAGCTCTGTCCAGCTCCTGTGAAATTCTGTTCAGTCTTTTACCTCAGCTCTATCTGTGTTCACTTTAATCTGTGTCATTCAGCACTTCACGGACCTGAAAGTTTGCCAGTAAGCTTCCTGGTCTTTTGAAGTTAAGTCCAAAAGATGTGGGCTTCTCTTTAGCAAGCTCAGGCAAGAAAGAAGGCTGAAGCTAAGGGCGAATGAAGCAGATCATCTGTGCAGTGATGCGGTTTACCCAGATGCAGCCCTACAGATTCCAGGGGTGGTTCTGTGGGTCCTCATAAAGAGGTATTGGGGCACTGGGGATTTCTCAGGTCCCATTCCTCCATGCCAGGAGCCTGCAAACTTTCCTCACTTCAGGAGATTGTGGACAGGTCTTTGTAAGATGAGAACCTCAGCTTCCCTGTTTTCTCTAAGTGGGAAAAGCTGGGCAGCTGCTCTGGGGGCTTGAGGGTCTCTCAGGCTCCCAGAACACGTGTCTGGCAGCTGGAGAGTACATATACAAATTTTAATGGCAGCACAAATGAGACATCAGGGGACATTTGTTTCCACTGTGAAATTGCTGATCAGAGAAGACTTTTTCCTTACTAGTAGAGGGGCAGGTTACTTGTAACGGCTCTTACAATCCCTCCAATAACATCTGTACTCTTACTTGAGTTTAGGTGCACCTTCAAAATTATTAATAATTTAATAAATGTGGGAGTTGTCTCCCAAAAATATTAACATACAGTTATCAGGTACTTCCTGTTGATGTACTTACAAACATTTGTACGAACTCTTCCAATTAAATCAGTGTTGGATGTCAGACCAACTCGCTTTTTACATGATGTATTATTAAAATGCAATTGAATAAATATTCCTTAGCTTAGAAAGGTTCTTTCAGTTAAATGTATCCCTGCATCTGACAGGTATCTAGTTTCTCAAAATCATTCTCAAACATGCAATCTAGCATCTGAATTCTTAAGTTCCTTTTATAGAGAGAAAATTACATTTACTATCCTCTTCCTGTTTGTGTATGCAAATGAAGTTAAATATAAACTTTGTCAACTCTTTCTTGAATGTTACCGCTAGGTATAAATGTAGGTGATTTAGAATTGGCTCGGCAGCTCCAAGATGAAGAAGATAGACAGCAACGATTAGAAGAAGTGAAAAAGGAGAAGGAAGAATTTAAAAAACTACAGGTACAGAAAATTTTCCGTGGTATTCAAATGATAAAAACTGGGGTGGGGGGGAGAATTATCATCACCAGTGGGATATCTTGGAGTTGTGTGTATTCTGCTGGGGTGTCTTGCTGTTCACCAATGTTCATATTATGATGTCAATTAAACTAAGTGCAGACAGTTAACTAATTAAATAAAAATAATAGAGCTGAAATTCATTCTTTTGACTTTGATAACCATTCTGTATTTCAAAGGTGAGACTTGGAGCCATTTCCATGAGTGAGAACATTTGTCCTTATTTTCTGTTGTAATCTGTGGTAGTCACTTTGCAGGATCACCTGAACCTAGAGTTTTTGAATTTGGTACCTCACTACATATACTGTAGATGTATGCAAAGAAAAAGTGTGTGCATCATAAATTGGGATTGTACCATAAAGTAAGTCGGAAGTAATGATATGTCGGGAAAACAATCTAATAGATTCATAGATTCCAGGGTCGGAAGGGACCTCAATAGATCATTGAGTCCGACCCCCTGGATAGGCAGGAAAGAGGGCTGGGTCTAGATGACCCCAGCTAGATGGTTATCTAAACTCCTCTTGAAGACCCCCAGGGTAGGGGAGAGCACCACCTCCCTTGGGAGCCCGTTCCAGACCTTGGCCACTCTAACTGTGAAGAAGTTCTTCCTAATGTCCAATCTAAATCTGCTCTCTGCTAGCTTGTGGCCATTATTTCTTGTAACCCCCGGGGGCGCCTTGGTGAATAGATACTCACCAATTCCCTTCTGTGCCCCCATGATGAACTTATAGGCAGCCACAAGGTCACCTCTCTACCTTCTCTTGCGGAGGCTGAAAAGGTCCAGTTTCTCTAGTCTCTCCTCGTAGGGCTTGGTCTGTAGGCCCTTAACCATACGAGTGGCCCTTCTCTGGACCCTCTCCAGGTTATCCGCATCCTTCTTGAAGTGTGGCGCCCAGAATTGCACGCAGTACTCCAACTGCGGTCTGACCAGCGCCCGATAGAGGGGAAGTATCACCTCCTTGGACCTATTCGTCATGCATCTGCTGATGCATGATAAAGTGCCATTGGCTTTTCTGATGGCTTCGTCACACTGTCGACTCATGTTCATCTTGGAGTCCACTAGGACTCCAAGATCCCTTTCCACTTCCGTGCCACCCAGCAGGTCATTTCCTAGGCTGTAGGTGTGCTGGCCATTTTTCCTCCCTAGGTGCAGCACTTTGCATTTCTCCTTGTTGAATGGTTAATGGTATCATCAGTTGGGCTCTGTGTTGGATTGGGCTGAATCTGACTCCTGTTATTCTGCGTTGAGAAGCATTAAGTAAACAAATGTATCAGCTGAATGTCATGTTTCATTACCCTCACTTAACATGACTCTCACTTAACAATTTTTTGAGTAATGAATTTTCAGTTTGTTACTTAACCATGATTAGATTGGTTGTGTAGTTGGATATTACAGGAAAACTGCTGTATAGTAGATGGACTGAAATTAAACTGTTTGGATGGCATGGGAGCAATGTTTATTCTAATATAATAAAGAGTTTAATCTGTCTGTTCATAATGGTTTTGCTCAAGTGCGCACATTTGGTCAGGGCAAGGGCGCGGGGGCTGGGCCTGGTTGCGTGCGGCCGGATGTGGAATGGCGGCAGCAGCAGACAGTGGGTGGTGGC